ACTAGTTAGATATAGAAATAACAAACCAAATTCTAGTAACAACTCTTTTCAAAATAACTATAAAAGAAAATATAAATAAAACAATGTTTAAAAATAAAAAGTTCAAGGAAGATCAAGAAATTTCTTTAGAGAATATACTCAAAGATAATAAAAGAATATATGAAAAGAAAGCTTAAAAAGAAATCAAAGAGCAAAAAGAAAAAGAAGAAGAAAGCATTATAGCTTTAAAAAATCAAATCTTAGCAATACCATTAGAGGATAGCTTGTGGTCACCAAAAAATAGAGTATATAATTAAAAAAATTCATTTAGAGCAAATATTTCAGTATACAATCTATCAGGTGATAACAAAATTAAAAGAGTAAATTATCTAAAATGGATGCTAAAAGACAACAAACATATTAAATCGATTAGAGAAAAATTCAAAAGAGGAAACAACTAGATAGTAATTAATTTTGATTGTGAATTCAGTAGAAATGCAGAAATTGAGAAAGTTAAAAAGAAAGAAGGTGATTGGCTAGTTATAATTCTAGATGAAGAAGTAAAGGATTTTGCAGAAGTAGATCGATTATAAACAATCCAAAAAGCATAAGAAAGAAGTTAAACAGACAAGTTCAGACAAAATAAAAGAGGAAACTATAAATAAAGAAGAAGAAGAAACTGCAAAAAAACAAAAAATTCTAACAATATGAGATTTACCTTCAGATGTCAATGAAAAAGAAATAAGATACATGTGCAGAAGGTTTCAGAATCTATATATAATATGAGTGAAGAAAACATAATATAAGGCATTAGCAGTAATCAAAGTGAGTGTTAAAGAAAAAAGAAATGTGCCCTAGTTCTTACTCTTAGAAAACAACAAACTCACAAGAATAACTAAAAGAGATGAAGACTATAACCAAAAAAATAGACAGTGCCAATTTACAGCAAGACTGTTAGATATTTTTAAAAGAGCTTCAGAGGCCTTACTTTTACAGTGTTTACAAAACAAAGGAGCAAAGCTCTATATAATCTAGCAAACAGAAATGAAAACCAAAAAAAGTTTGCAATAATAATATTTGCAAATTCTGAAGAAATGGATTTAGCTTAAACCAAACCAATATAATATAACAACCATTGAGTAATTTGAAAAAACTATTAGAAAAAAGATTCAAAAAGAAATGAAGTATCAAGAGAAAGAATTGAACAGTATCAGAGTTAAGAAACCAAAGACAAATAATCTTAGAGTCAAAAGAAACAATATAATAAATAACAAAAAATAATAATATAAGCAGAGAACAGGTTTTGAAAAATCAAACAAAGTATTTAACAGATAATATAGCAGAAAAAGAAAGTTCAGAGAAAAGGAAAAACAAATCCAAAATCCAAACTAAAGAAAGAGCTTTAAATACAGAAGACATTCTAATTAAAATTTTGAATAAACTGAAAAAATTAAAAAAAGTAAGAGAAACAATAATAGAGGGTCTTGCAAATTACTCCTAAAACTTGCTACAGTTGAACTAAAGAGACCAGATGTAGAGATAAACTTCTTTTTGCAGGATCAGAGGCACAAACAGAAGGCAATATAAACAAAAGCTCTACAAACTGGTAATAGTAGTAAAAAAGCTAAAAAGAAGAGAAAAAGCATAATAGAAAATAAGAAAAAAACATTCATAAAAAAAATTTATACTAGGGACAGTATAGAATTAAATTTGATGACATACAACATTAATGGTCTAAAAAGTAATAATCAAAAGATGAAGGCATTATATATGTGGGCATTAGACAACAATATTGATATAGTAGAGCTTGCAAAAACAAACATTACAGCAAAAAAAGAAAATTTTTTAACAAAAGACTGCATTGAGTATAAAAGTTTTTGGGCAAATATGAATCCAAGCAAGAAAAAAGGTTCAGATATAGGGTTTCTAATTAGCAAACAATAGTAAAAACACTTAGAACAAGTGGATAGAATAAGTAAATATATGATTTTGGCTAATTTTATATTTAAACAAGCAAAAATCTTAGTTATCATAATATATGCACCTTCTAACAACAAAGAAGAAAGATTAATTATACAAAAAACACTAGTAGAAAAATATATAAAATATAAAGCAAGAATTTAATTAGTAGTAATGGGTAACCTAAATTGCATAGTAGACACAGAACTGGATAAATTACAGAAGTCTAAGCAAAAATCTAAAAAGCAAAATCTGCTAATTAAATGGTTAGCAAGACAGGAGTTTCAAGACACTTATAAAACAATCAATCTGAAGAAGAAAAAGTTCTCATGGTTAGGCAGAACAAGTAATAAGAATTGATTACATATGGGTTACAAAAGGGCTTGGTAATGGGCTATTAGATGCAGAAATCCAAGAAATGGATATTTGGACAAACAGTAATCATAGTGCAATTGTAGCAAAAATAGACTTAAATCATCTTATTGCAATATATAGAAAAGCAGAAATAAAAAAGAAAAACTATCAAAAAATAGTACTACTATTTAACAAAGCAACAAAAGAAAATTAGGACAACTATAGAAATAAACATGAAGCATAATTTAAAAAAAAAATTACATTACTAAAACTACAGCAGGTCTCAGTAAATAGTTTGTCTAACAAGAAAGATACAAGACTAGACAAGTAGTAAGACATTATAAGTAATGTAATTTGTGTGGCAACAAAAAAAACATTGCCCAAAAGATGAGTTTTAAATACAATTGCAAACAAAAAAAAAGGGGCAAGAGAGTCAAAGCTAGAAAAAACACTTACACAATTAGGAAGATAAATTAGTCTAGGTAGAAAGAATGTTGAAATAGAATAGTTAAAAAAGAATATAGAAGAGCTTAATGAGGAAATTAAATATATCAATCAGCAGCACAATGTATATATCGAAAAAGCACAAAAACAATGGTCCAAAGAACTAATATCTGATTTTATAGGCTGGTGACAAATTCTTCATGCAAGGTGAGCATGTGAAATCCAAAGGCTCAAAAGAAAAGAAACTAAAGAAAACATTAAAAGAAGATGTACAAAAATAAATAGGAAACAAAGAAAAATGCTAGCAAGTCTTTTAGACAAACTATATAGCAAAATTCAAATTGATAGGCTGCTTAAAGAAAAAGAAAAAGATAATTCAAGACAATTAATTACAAAGCTACTAAAGGTATTAAAGAGATGCAAGAGCATTACTAAAATCAATTCAGACCTAGGCAAGTCAAATATGAAATATTTGAAAAAAATTGGAAAAAAATCTACAAACCAAAGAAAACAATTTAAGCAGACTGGTACAATAAAGTAAATCAGAATATTTCAAAAGACGAATAGATAGAAATGCTAGCAGAACTAAAAAAGGACACAGCTCTAGGAATATTGAAAATTACATATACATTAATACAAGCAGCAAGATCCAAAGTTCAAGATCTATTTAGAATATTTGCAAAAATATGCATTAAAACAGGAAAAGTGCTAGCAAAGTAGAAAGTCTTACAAATATATCCAATACTAAAAGAAACAGACTGGCAGTACAATTTAAGCAATGTAAGGCCAATTGCATTACTTAAAACTTTTCACAAGTGCATGACAAAAGTCTTAACTAAAAGATTGACAAGCATGTTCTACAAAAAAAGTATCTTGGAAGGTCCAAATTTCACAGGCCTACTAGGAAACTTAACAGAAAAGCCTGTTCATATTATGAATATGATAATAGAAGATGCAAAAGATAACAATAAGGAGCTCTGGTTGGTCTTCTAAGACATAAAAAAGGCATTTGATTTAGTATTACTCACAATATTAAAACTGGTAATAGAAAGAATTAAACTACCAAAAACAACAACTAAGCTAATTTTAAATTTGTTTACAAATAGAGAATCAAAAGTCATCCCATATTGAGGATATACAGAGATATTCCAAATCCAGAATAGAATAGAACAAGATGAGGTCCTGTCACTTTTTGTATAAAGAATATTTTATAATTTGCTATTAGAGTGAGTACAAAAAAATACTAGTCTAGAATATACAGTATCAGTAAGATTACTATATAACCAAAAACTTAATTATACAACAGAAATAAAATAGAAACAAGCTACAATAGTATTTGCAAATAATACAATCTGAATAGCAGAAAGCAAAGACCAGATAAAACAAACAATCAAAATCGCAGAAGAGTTCTTCAAATTCAATGATATACAAATAAATAGAAAAAAATCCAAATTATTAATTATAAACTCAAAAAAAACTAAAAAAAACAAAAGAATCAAACTCAACAATGAATAGTTATATAAATAAGACAAGAGTAAAATAACAAGTTTTCAGGAATTTGGCTAAACAATAGACTAAAAGAAACAATAATAAAAGCAAAAGCAAAAAAATTAATATGATCAATTGTAGAAGGATTAAGAAGAAAAAAAATGGCCATTGCACAAGTAGTATATATAAACAATATATGCATAGTACCAAAGCTTAATTATATGTTGCAAATAACTAAGCTTTCAAAAAAGATGATAGACAATATACAAAGTTCAATTCTGAGATTAGCAAAAAATAAGTTAAAGATAGCAAGAACAGTTGGAACTAGCAGTCAGAGAATATGTCACACAGACCAATTTTATATAATAATGTTACACAAAAATTATACACCTTACTTTTCATTCGTTATAAGAATACTTATAAAGCTTTCTAAATATTTGATCTTTATATATTAATAAAACTTATTCTACAAGTTTTGTTACATTTATATATGCTATTTTATTTTTTATTTTTATTTTACTTTTTGATATATTATACGACAAAGTAGAGTATAATTTTTAGCTTTATTGTTCACATTATTTTTTAAAAAACAAGTTATTTTTTTTTTTGATTTAATATACTATTACGAATAGAGAGCTATAAGGTTACTTAGAAACACAAAGTAGAATTTATTAATAAATTTTTCTAATACAACAGATCAAAAAATTTTACTATATTTTTATATGTTAGAAATTCATTCAATATAAGAATTAATAAGATTGGGTAAGTTTTAAAGTTTAATCTTTTATAGCTAATAAATATTTTTTAGCTGAAACATTAACTAAATCTTTGGTTCGTCTTTCTTTTGCAATTTCTTTTTTAGTTTTGTAAATTTCTTCATTCAAAATATTATATAATCGAACAAGACTGTTTCTGTAAAAATTAAACATTCGAATATAACTATTTTGGTTTATTTCTTGTGCATGTTTAAAAAGATAATGCTGAGTAGGATCAGGATAACCGAATGCAGTAGTAAAATCTTCAATAAGCTGCCATAAAGTTTCAGTATATTGATTAACTGCACGATCTTCTGTACTAACTACGTTGTCTTTTACAAATTCATTGTAGAGTAACATCATTCTTTCATGCTCATCTTGAATTGCCATTATTCATTGTTTTAAGATGGCTGGATCTGATAAACCAGAAGTTAAGTTTTGCTTAACAAACTTAACACCATATTGTTCCAAGGCTTCATCAAAAGCTAAGTAGTAGTTTTCTTTAGTAATGTTTATTGAAGCAATATGCTTGAAGAGTTCATGTTGTTGTGAGTTGTATAATACTGATTCTAAAAAGGTTACTACTGACAATGTATAAATATTTTTACTAGTAGCAGGAAATAGTGGTGCAAATACCACCAAACTTTCTAATTGCATATTCGCATTACCCAAATGAATGCCTATACAATGAGCTTTCCAATATCCAGCTAAATGGTAATATAATAACCATACTTTTAAAATATTGTTATTTCCTCTAAAAATAGTTTTTACATCAAATGATATATTATTATTTTTTAAATAGAGGTAAATTGCGATTTCTACAGTCATGTGTATCAATTTTAACACTCTGCAAGTTGAACAATAGTCTATATTTTGCTCTAGCTTATCAAGAAATTTGACACCAAGTTTTGTTGCTATACTATAAAGACTATATCCACTAAATGCAGAAATCAAAGCACTGCACATGGCTTTTGAAGTATGCCATTGTCCAAGAATAAATCTACAGATTAAATTATTATTTTTATATGATTTAGTTCATGTAAAAATAGCCGCATCACATGCTAAGTCAATCATGTTTTGTTTAAGATCTTTTAGATACATATTAATTGACTTAAATACTGCATCATTGCTATTAGGTGCTGGTTCAGGTTCTAATATAATAACATTTGGTGGCTTTATTCAACATTCTGGCTCAATAATAGTGAATATTTTATTATTAATTTTTTTAATTCCAAAATTTTTTTTTATACTTATTTAGTAGTTGTTCTATTATTTGATCGAATTTATCATCCCAATTGGATGTAAATTCTGACTGACCAAATAGATTTTCTCGAAGATTTGGGTTTTCTTGAGTAAGAGACGATAAACTAAACAGAAGTTCAAATTGAAATACCATCCTTAGAGTAGCATGTGCAGACTGCCTTGTGACATCATAAATATTCCCATATTTAAAAACAATATTTTTGAAATCGATATTATCAATCACAGCAACATTCCATACATTCGGGCCTTTTATTAACCTTGTTAAAGGATTAGATTTACTTCTTATACGATCTTTTTCTAGGTTTGTTTCATGCTTCTATGTATGTAATATTATATATACTGCATGCAATATTGCTTGCAAAGAAGAGATTAATTTAGGCTTTTTATATAAAGAAGCCATAGTATAGGTAAGCCATATTTTCTATGAACGAAATGCTATTGTTAGAATAATAGATGCAAGAAATGATTAATCCTTTTTCTAGCACCTGTATTAAATTCGGATTTTTTTTTCACGTTGTTTGTTTTTCCTTGTTCTTACTTTATATTTTTGCATTTTAATAGATTCGATCAATCCATCAAAAAAACTAGTTAGAGCTGAAGGAAAACTATTATAATATTCATCTAATGATGATGGATTTTCTAACTTAATTCGATTTTTTTCAATATCTTTGCATGAATTATATAAGAAATTTCCTAATATTTTTTCAAATTGTTAATACTCTTCTGCTTTTATAAAATTTTTATCAGTAGGCAAATAACTGTCAAACTTATTAATTTTCATAGCAATTTTTACAAGCAACGGACTAGGTGAATGAAACTCTTTATTTATCAAAAATGATGAATGTGATTTTGGGATTTCTAACAATTTCATCATATGCTGCAATATTTCTTTTTTATTCTCATTTTGAGAATATGAGAGATTTAATAGCCAATTTGAAAAAAGCCTTAAAACAAGATTAGTATCTTCTATATGTAATTCGTTATCGACACATGTTTGAGGATTTCTTCCAGATCCTAGATGTTTATAAAGATGCCCACTATGATTTTCAAAACATTTTGTACAAATATATCTAACATGTCTGTCATTAGTAATAAACATTGAACTAATATTTTGAATTTTTTAAAATACAGAACACAATTTTAAACCAAGACATGTACTTGAATATCTCTCCTGCATATATTCCAACAATGTTCTATACAATCTCTATCTCTGCTAAAGAATTTTTTATATTTGTTACATAATAAACATTTTTTTGTATGAATTACACTTTTACTAAAATGTCTTAATGCTTTAGTTTAGATGAATGAAGTTGTTTGTGGTCAAAGTTAAAATGGCTAGAACAAACTCCAAACTCAGTTAAATCTAAAGATTCATCGGAAGTCAACTCGATTTCCCATGTTCTAACTAATTGAGATAATGATATAAGACTAGTTGTTAAATTGCAATGCCTGATTACTTCATTTGTATTATCAACAATAACACAAGGTAATTGTTTTTTTGTTCTAATTTCTGGAATTTCATCATAACCTATATCACCATCATTATCATCAGATAATGTATTTTCAGTATCATTATCTTCATCTTGCACTATTTGATCTTCTACTAAACTCCTTGCTTTCATTGCAGCCAAAAAATCATGAGTAAACATGAATTCCCAGTCATTTAGATCAGTACTCCAACTTTCTTCTTCTGGATTTTCATATGTAGAAAAATAATCATAATAGTCATCTATTAGGATCAATTACAGAATTAAATTTTTACTAAAAAACTGATTATATTATGTGTTTTATAGATAATTGCTTTATTTTTTATAGATAGTCATGTAGATATTTATTAACCGAATGAAGTCTGAAGTCAAGGCTAAGTCAAAATCAAAATTTATATATACATGTTTTGAAGACTAATATATACAATAGATATTTGTAATTGATTAGTATAAAAAGTCTATACAGCATGAGAACATAAAGTTATTCATATGTGATTTTTGGCAATACTAGGGCGGTTATGTAATAAACACAATGTGATATTCCTAGATATTCAAAGATCTCTACAAAAAAAAAAATGTAGCTTATATTATAGTTAAAGCTCTGAAGATAATTCGTGGCTGGCAATATAATTAGTTATTACTAAAAAAGCTTCACTATTGGGATTGAGTTTTAATTATAAAGTAAGCTATGTTTTTTTGTAAATGATGCTAGAGCCGTTATTGAAATATTTCAATGCTCTTATTACTAATCAGTTTATGCAGAAAAGGTTCCTTTAAAATGAGTTAAACAATAACTACCTGAAATGTTTAGTACTGCTCTTTATTTCTTAAACATTTTTTCATCAATATTTATTTACGTTATGCTATTTAATTATTTTATACTTTTTCAAAAACATGCTCATTATGATTTTATTACAGTCAGAGGTACCAAAAATTTAATTGCAATTAAATTATTACACAATTGCAATTAATTAAATTGTTACAGAAAACAATTGCAAAACAATTAATTGTAAAATAATTGCAATTAATTGCAATTTTTACATAATAATTATAATGTTAAATTTTTTTAATGTCAAAGATCAGCAAGTTATTATATTTACAAGCTGCAACAAAAATTGCAATTAATTGAAAAAATGTAACTGCACCATTAATCAATTAATTGAGATCAAATAATTGCAATTAATTGCCTTTACAATCAATTATTCAGTAGCTATAATGACAGTTTCATTATAATTACGATTTTATTATGATTTCAATATTTTTTTATTATTTTATACAACAAATCTTTTTACATATTTATTTGTATACATTAAATCATACAATAATAAAAAAATAAAATAAAAGTAAATTCCAAGTAAAATATTAAAAAAAAATGAAGATATAATGTTACAACATATTTTGTCGAATTTGTTGATAAAATGCTGTAGCATAAATAAGTTAATATTATTGGACTACGTGGACTATATTATCTTTACATATTAAAGTGTCTTTTCAAAAAAAATTGAGTGTCACTAAAGAAAAACCTCGATCTGGAAATAGGTCATTTGCTAGAAAAATCACTGTTTGGCACTTGATTTCAAATGGTGATTTTCCTAGCAAATGACCCAAATTATAGTATATTACTCTTCCATATTAAGTGCTTTTTCAAAAAAAATTGAGTGTCACCAAAGAAAAACCTCATTCTGGAAATGGGTCATTTGCTAGGAAAATCACTGTTTGGCACTTGATTTCAAATAATGATTTTTCTAGCAGATGACCCAAATTATAGTTTATTATTCAGTGAACTTAGCTCTTAAAAAATTATCAGCAATTTATTAGTGATAACAGTCTTATAGTACAAAAAGAAATAAATATTAATATGATAATAAAAACACATTATACCAAAATAACTAGTAGACTGTTATCACTGACGAGTTACTGATGATTTTTCAAGGGCTAAGTTCGCCAAATAATAAACTATGATTTTCAGATCGAGGTTTCCCCTTGGCAGCACTCATATGATAGAATGTAAAATACTCGGAAGATATATTTTGTCTATAGAATATATTGTATCTTGGGTACTATCGTCCACACTTTACAATAAAAATAATTATTATATTCACTAAATAAATCAAGTTAACAGTTAAATAAAAAGAAATTAAATAAGAATTAGTTCACAATAAACATGAATAAAAAAAATTTTTGAACTTTTAAATACTTAATAAAGAATCATTATGCTTGTCAGCTAAATTAAGAACTAGTTAACAAATTAGCACAAATAAGAAACTAATAAGAAATGTCGATTTATTTTAAATTCTTTAATTAATAAATAATCACTGTACTTACTAGCAGTCTGTCAACTAAATCAGCACAAAAAAATTTTAATTATACGAATAGATCATTGATTGATAATAGAGGAGAATAAGAAGTGACCAGTCAACTAAATAAGAATGAACAAGAAAATTACTTTAAGCATCAAACCAATTTTGAATAAAAGACTTAGTGAAAATTTTCTGTTAGCTAAATTAGAACGAGTAAAAAAAAAATTTTAATAAAACAAAATTACGACTAATAGTAGAATTCTTTCATAATGCTTATTATAAACCCGCAAGACTTCGCTGATTAAGCAAACCCAAAGCTTCAATACAACCATACTGAAGTATAGCCTTGGTAGAGTTGTCCAAAACTAACTTTAACTTTTATAATGTGAATTGGCTATTGCGATTTGGAGATTTTTCATGTCTTGTTGCAAACAAGATCCTGAAATCTATTACAGTATTACAAATGATAAATCTTGCGAAAGTTTTGAAAAAAAATTATTATTTAGCAAAGTGTCAAATTGAAGTTAACATTCTTACCGAAAATTGGCTAAGAGATTCTCAAGTTCTTGCTATAAAAAGATTTCGAAATGCTAACAAATTTGAGCCTGGCATTATTTTCTATTTATATATAAATCAATTTTCAAACTTATACTGTTGATAGAGCAAAACCTGCAGAACAGCGTTATATAAGGAACAATTTTAATATCTTTTATGCATCATATAGGTCGATTAAAAACAAATAAAATTTTTTTAAAATTTTCATAGTAAATTTTCAAAAAATTGATCTACATTTTATTATGATTTGGCACTCACATATATGAACATGTGACATATTCCCTAACTGCTAGTGTAATATTATACAGAAATCTAGACAACTGCAACTTACTATGGAATCAATTACTAATAAAACAAATTACAAGCTTATACAACTATTTAAACTCATCAGACCTAGAAAAAATGTTAACCAGAATTTGAATAAACCAAGAGTTAGAATTTATAGAAGCATCAGAAAATAATTGGTATAAAAATTTATTGAACATATGCAACAAGTTTTGAAAAAACAATTTAGTATATCAAGTAATATTAAAAGCAAAAGACATGTAAATAACATTTAGATTTAATAATTTAAAGAACAGTTGTGAGCAAAATAAGCAGAAAATAGTAGATATACTTAAGGAAAAGTTTACAGTACAAGCAGCAACAGTTTTAAAAAAACTAAACATTTTTTATACAGAACAGTTGATTAACAAAACTGATGACCAAATAATTACATAGTAGCAACTCAAAGTTCTAAGAAAAGGCTCAAGTAAAGAAAAAGTAGCTAAATGGTTTAAAATAATAGAAAAAGAAATAATTGAGAATATCAAAACAAGAAAAGTAAAGCCAATTTTCAATATACAAACACCAAACATAAATGTCTTGAAGATTAGTTTAGCAAAACTATTTGAAGATAAAAGAAGAAAAGACTGAGTCATACTAAAATATCCAAAAGAGAAAGAAAGTAAAAATCTTATAATTAGAAAAACCCTTATAAATGAATACAAAAAGATTCTTACAAAGTATTGGAATGTAGAGCAAAAGAAAAGTAACCCAAGGCCAATACTTAAAAAATGTAAAAGTTGCAAGATAAATAAAGAAAAAGAGCTAAATAAATGCAAAAAATAGAATAACAAATCAGAGGTGTCAAAAGTCTTGATAAACCTAGTAAAAAAAAGAGCTAAAAATTAAAAATTAAAAATCAAGAAAGAAATGATTAATATAAAAAAAAATCGTAAATATGAAAAATCAATAATAAAAAAGAGTCAAGTCAAAAAGATAATATGCCTCACACAAGAAGAAAAGCTAATCTAAAAACAAAATATAAGCAATGAGTTAAAAGAAGAACTAAATAGCAAATTATATAAAAACCAAATAGAAAACTACACAAATTTGTCTTTTTATACAGATGGTTCTTTCAAAAAATCTAGTTTGAGAGAAAAATTAGAGGAACAAAATGAGTGTTGGTTGGATGCAAATAGACAAGAAAGAAAAAGTAAAAATTGATGAAAGCTATTTCAGAGTACAAAATTGGCTATCATCAACCAAGCCAAAACTGTTAGTGATTTGAAAAGTTTTTTTAATCATATCCAAAAATAGTAAAATCAAAATATATACAAATAGCATAATAGCAATAGCAGGAATAAATAGAGGACTAAAAATTAAGTTCAACAAACAATGGCTTAAAGAAAAGAACTATGATATAAAAAGAAGTATAATAGAGATTATAAATCTCAAAAAGTTACAACTAGAATTAGTTAAAGTTAAAGGTCATAGTGATAATAGATAGAATAATTTAGCAGATAGTTTGACAAAATTAGGTAGTAGCTTAGAAAATAGAAATAGAATAGTTAAAGAAATACTACAAAATGGAAATGTTTCATTATATTAGAAAGATAATGAGTAGAAGGTTCAACAAAACAATTTCTGAAAGATGTTCTTAATCTTAAAATAGGTGTAGAATAAAGATTTTCATCAGTTATAAAGAAGCTAGAACCAAACAATAAGACAGAAAAGCACAATTGGCTACCTTTATAGAAGAAAATTAAAGATTAAAGTGAAGTAAAATATACAAGTATGAAAAAAATAAGCAAATTGGACACTAATCAAGTGCTTGAGTGAAAAATTACCTTTACTAAAGATACTAGCAGAGTGATGTTTAGATTTTTATACAAGCTCATGTTGTATTCTATGCAATGAAAGAAAAGAGAAAGACTAAGAGCATTTAGCAATATGTAGCAATCATGAAAAAGGTTGGCAAAATATAGAAGAAACCTCAACCAACCTAGTATAGTCAGCACTAATAGAAGAATTACAAAAGAACTTAGATAAAAAAAAACTCAAAGAAATTATATGAATAAAAACCAGAAAGGAAAAGA